ATCCTTTAAAAGAAATAGGCTGAAAATTAGAAATTGCTTAGTAAAAAAATATAACTCAAAAGATTGCAATAAAAATTTGCTTTCATATACAATTTATAATGCTTTTGTCTCATGCTTTAAATGTTTAATAACATATGCTATAAATTATAATTACAATTTAAAAATTCAAATTTCAAATCTCAGAAATTCAAACATAGTTTTATTTGACAAGATGATTTTAAATGAAAAAGTTGTTAACTACAAAGTTACATAACTTTTCGGGATCTACAACTTTCGTTTTTTTGTTATTTCTCCATTTGAGGACATTTTAAAAATTCAAATTTCAAATTTTAGAAATTCAAACATAGTTTTCCTTGACAAAATGATTTCAAATCGAAAAGGTGTCAACTACAAAGTTGTGTAATTTTTCAAGATCTACAACTTTTATTTTGGTCATTTCTTTGTTCGACAAAGTGGTACTGCATAGAGATTTAAATTTATGAACAATATAGACTATAACTTTGTCGGACGAACAAATGACCAAAACAATAATAACGATCTTAGAGAAGCTTACAATCCATACAAATATAATTATGATGTCCAAATAAATAAACCTAATGAAACATAATTAACTTGCATACAAACATAATTAAAATATCCATACAAATAAACCTAATTAAAGTACATAACTGTTCGAATAAATCCGATTAAACATAACAGCACGAATAAACCTAACCAACACATAGATCCTACAAACCGGCTGTAACCCTAGTCTGTCTCCACTGCCAATAGTGTATGTCTCGGATTGTGTAACCACGGTCATTATCTATGTAATGCAAGGCCCGCACTACAACACTCTTCATTGCCTCACAACGCCGAGGACATGGCATCCCATAGATGTAGCCTACTGACGGACTATCGATGGTCTGGTTCTGCCTAAATCTCACGCAATACTGAATGCCAGCTGTCGTCCTCTGGCCCATCGCTTCCACGAAGTCCCAGGCGTACCCCAGTCACTTAAGAGCTTGCAGCCACATGTAGCATAGGTAAAATCATAGAACAAAACCTGCAAGCAGACAAATAAAAAATATCAGAAAGCGCTCATATAATAATAAGAATAAATAAACATTACTCTCATATCATACACGACGTACCACATCCATATAGTTGAATGTCGCATGCCTCTCGCTTACTCGCGTCACATCCAGATTGTGCTCACGTAAAGCTTCTATCTTCAAGGATGAGAAATCAGGCATACGATAGCCATTTTGCTCGATTGCCTGCAAAGAAAGCAGCACGGCATCGATCTAGACGCCTATCTTGGTCGACGACCGTCATCCCGTCTGTACGATGTCCCGGCGCACCTCATTATTGTACCTAATGAGGATGTCGAAGACTAGATTGCATGTCCATAACTCGCCTCCTTCATCATTCACGACCTCACTTGTTGTCGTCTCGAAGATCTCCCACGCCCCGAGCAGCCATAGTGCTGCTTCCAACCACTTGACCGGTTTTATAGTCTGTGACATGCAACAATCATATTATGAATGAATGTATATATGTAAAAATTATATTAGCACACAAAACTTAAAATATTCTATACTATTGATGGGTCTGGGTAATGCGGAACGACCTTATCTGGCGATGGCACGAATGGAAGATCGCCAGTGTGGAAACCTGGTTCCTATGGGTGAGGAAGTCCGACGCCATTCATTGTAACTAAAAAAACTAAAAAAACATCCCAATAAATATAGAACCCTCGTATAAATATACCACGCAATAATATGTATTAGAGAAACATATAAACAATAAATCACTCACACACACACACACACACACACACACACACATATATATATATATATATAGAACCCTCGTATAAATATACCACGCAATAATATGTATTAGAGAAACATATAAACAATAAATCACACACACACACACACACACACACACACACACATATATATATATATATATATATATACACACATGCTAAGTAAACTTAAACATTTTGCACATAATTTTGTTTTACGATTATTAACTCTCGTCAAGAAATAATGTTGCTAACAAAGATCTAGAAAACAAAATGTTTAAGGTTATGTAGAAATGATGTATAAATAAAAATAAAATCCACCATAATTATTCCTAATCTAAAAAATCACACATTTGAATATTTCTATGCTTATTACTAAAACATGAAACGATCTACATTATTAGCAATGAAAGATTAGAAGAAGAAGTTGCTAACCTTTAGAAGATTGAAGATGAAGCCAGCGGCCGAGAGCAAGAACTTGCTCCCCAAGCAAGAACACGGATGAACAATAAGCAAAGACCAAGATTTGACCGGTGTGTCTCGGGCTTGGGGACAGTAGAAGCGGGTATATATATAGGTGGGGACTTTTAGTCCCAATTGGTGAAGCCTACTGGGATTAAAGGATCAACCTATAATCCTGGTTGGAGCCAAAACCCTGGATAAAAGGCCAGCGGGACCTTTGGTCCCGGTTGGTGGTTCCAACCGGGATTGAAAGGCAACATTTAGTCCCGGTTTGAACCACAGATCGGGACTAAAGGTCCATATTGGAAAAACCTGCTGCACTATCCGTTGGGCAGGGGATTCTAGTCCCGGTTGGTGGTTCCAACCGGGACTAAATCTCCTATTACTCCCGGGCCAAATTCCGGCTGGGACTAAAGCCAAAAACCAAAAGCCTGTTCTCCACTAGTGCAAGTTTAGTGATGCCCTTATGATATTTGCTTAGAGGAGGATCTACTACTTTGCTGGTGCAACTACTCTCTTCTCTCACTAACCCTCTCACCAAAACGAAAAATTGCACTTCCAGATACCAGTTCGATCATGACCTCAGCTTTATTTAAGTGTGAGAATTAAAATGATTCAACTAGGGTAGCCATTACTTCAAACTGAACAAAGACAACTTTCAACTAGCATCCAACTTTCTATGGAGACTTGATTGGAACTTTCAATCAAAAAACCCAAATTTTGACCTTTCCACTTTCGTCATCACTTTCAAACTAACTAAAAGTTTGCTTTAAAGTCTCTACATATAAGACAAACTATCAACTTCTTACTTTCAAGTGTTTGATTCAACCCACAATATTATCAAAGAGAAAAAGAGAACTCAAAGGGAAAAGTATTAGTACATACTCCCTCAATTCTAAATTATAAGTTCTTTTGATTTTTCAAGATATATATTTTTTTTCTATATATCTAGAAATAGCATATATCTAGATGCATAATAAAACTAATATACCTGAAAAAAATAAAAACGACTTGCAATTTGGAGCGCATGGAGTATTTGATATCGTTAAAGTATTAGTGAATTGTCTCTATATTCTCCATCCGCTTAAACTCTTAGATTGAACTGGTTTGTGCATGTGACTTAATATCGAATCATGGTTAAAGATACCAAGTTAAATTCTCAGTTATCATAATTGAATAAAATAATTATTGCTCGCTTAGATTCCACCACATACAAGGCTTGTGGGAGGCTCCACAGTAGCCTAAGGGCCAGTTTGGCAGAGCTCTCAGAGCATGTTCCAGACTAAATCTAAGAGAAGCTCAGCCAAATAGTTTTTTTATTGAGAAGTGATTCTTCGCTGATTCTATTAAGTGATTCTCTGAAATAAACTACAGGCTGGGAACTAGAAAAAGTAGCTTCTCCTAATTCACTCAACGCTTAGAATCACTTGCATAGAGTTTATTCTAGAGAATAGATGAGAATCAATTTCAATCAAAGAATCACTTCTTATAGAGAATCATGGTTTTCACGGAAAATCTGAAGCAGGAGGAGCTCTCCTAAATTAGCCCTAACTTCGTAGTATATCTGCTGCCTCAAAAAAAAAACATGCATGCACATAGAAGTCTGGTATTTAGAAATGCTTGAAAATTCTTGAATAATTCAATAGTAAATGCCTTTTCGGAGGAAACATTAAAATTGATTGACACTAGAAAAAGTAAAAGGCTCATACTCTCCAGCCTAGTTTGTTCATTATAATAAATATACAATTCAGAGTTTTTGCCCCAAAAAATGACTCGCAAGTAAAGTTTGTCGTGGAAATATTGGAACTGTTGCTGACCGTGACAAGATTCTTTCACTCGCAAGTAAAGTATGTTGGCACCTATCTGCCAAAATAGCTATTGCTACGTTTGCAATAACAGATTCCCCTACGCTAGAAAATCGACATAAACACTTTTTTTCAATTACATAGTACAACCCACGCACGCACACTCACCTCTAAGAATATACGCATGCAAACCTTACCCCTCTGAGCACCTTCGAAGACTGGACCGATAAATTCTTAAGACGAGATTGACAAAGTCACCACAGACGTCTCGCTATTAACGGAACGTAGACGTCAGGTGCTACCGTGACTCTCGTAAGCTACAGGCCCTCTCACGAAATCAACAGAAACACATTCGTCTAAGAGAGAAGATACCAATAAAGAGATTTTGTTTGTGGCAAACACACATCAACATAAATCAACTGTGCAAAATCAGGAGTACATGAGTTCCGTTAAAACACACACCGACACTAGGCTGTTGTAAACTTTGGTAGCTTTTGCAAACATATATATATATTCAGGTTGGAACTAGAAGCCAAAATCATATCTAGAGCATTGCGATTGCGATGACCACTTTCAAAGTCTTCCTACAGCTAGTCTCCCCGTAGGAATAGGAATATATATAGTGGCTTGGTCTATGTGTTTGGAAAAAGTGAGAGGGGCTCGTTGGTCGGACGGCAGGAGCGTGCCTGCTTACCGGGGGAGCGCGCGTCCACGGCCACGTAAGTCGTCGCCCTCGCCGTGCCCCGTCCATCGGGCACCTCGGAAATTCCGTGCTCCTATGACGACGGCCGGAGTCAAAGTTTTCGGGTCTACGCACACACGACGACGACGCGGACTCACCTTCACTATTTACTCTGCCACTACCTGTGTGCCTGTGAGGCCAGTGTGAGCGGTTCAACCTTCTATTCGTCCTGCTAATGCCATCTTTGAAGCTTTCCATGGCTCTGGCTCCATCCTCGTTGCTGCTCTTCCTAGTCTCGTCGTCGGTGTGGGTGGCCTTATCCTTACCATCGCCGGTGGCGGCAGCAGATGGGCAAGCAGGAGGAGAGCAGTGCCCGCCCTTTTCATGCGGCGACGTGACCATCTCCTTCCCGTTTGGGCTCATCCCGGAGGGCGCCGAGCAGACCAACTGCGGCGCCTGGATTGGGTTCCAGGTTCGTTGCCATAACAACAACATCCCATACCTCGGATACTATCAGAGCGAGTACCACATGCAGATCCTCGCCATATTCTACCACAACCGCTCCTTGCTCATCGCCGATAGACTAGCATATTTCAATAGGTCTAGCCCCGAAGGGTGCCGCATCCCGACAGCCAACACCTCGTCCCGTCTTGTTCGTCCGTTCTCGATCAGCTCCGTCAATCAGAACCTCATCTTCTACAACTGCAACAAGCCGCCGCCGCCAGGCGCGGGGCTCGTGGAGACGGTATGCCACAAGAACACGTTTGTTCGTGCCGCCGATGGGCGTCCCGACGAGTCAGCAGGCAGCTACTTTTTGGAGGACTGCAACGCTACCATGGTACCGGTGCTCGGGGTGTCCGGCATGGTGAACGCAACCAACTACGAGCAACTCGTCAGGGATGGCTTCCTAGCGACATGGCAGTGGCCACCACCGCCGCCGCCGCCGACAGGTAACTTCGCTCTTGGAACAAGTATTATACCGAGTCTATCTATCTATCTATCTATCAGCTTAGCAGGAAGAGGAATACTTCTTTTGGTCTCTCTCTCTCTCTATATAGATAGATAGATAGATAGATAGATATACTAACTAGTAGCTTCGAATCAGGGCTGACATATACAGCCTGTTCGCTTGTTGGTTTCAGCCAGCCCAAACCAGTCAGCCAACAGTGTTTTTCTCTCACAGAAAACCAGCACTAGCCAGTCCAAACCAGCACCAGCACCAACCAGCGAAAAGGCCCATGGAAGTGAGAGGAGCTCATAGTCATATCCTTCGTAGGCCCCATGGAATTAGGTCCCCATTTGCACGCAGGAGTAGCTCTCATCTCACCCTGAGTGACCTTGGCTGCCTTCCCTGTTCCCTTGATCCACCGGTAGCAAGTTTTGGCCAGCGGCAGCTGGAAGTGATGGTTATTATCTCGTGTGTCGTGTTCGTGCTCAATTGGTGGTGACACTGACGAATTGCATGCCGGGGGTGTCGTGCGCGCACTGGCCGCACAACAATCCCTGGTGTAGTTTTTGAAATTTCAAGTTTTATGATATAAATGATACAATTTACGCCTTTGTGATCCTAGTTTGTCGGGTTAATTTTTGAATTTTAAAAAATAAAAGCTACGATTTTATAATTCTAATAGTGCTGGTCGTTTTAGCCGCACGACTTTCTTGGTCCCGTTGCATCATGCAGATTGCGGCGTGGCGCTGGCGCGTTGGCGTCGCGTCAGTGCTCCCCACTGGAGCGATCGAGCGTTATCCTTCCTATGGAGATCTTGGTGCTTACTGACACACTAATTGCACGAAGCACGTACTAGCTCTCATGTCACGTACTCTCAGTGACCTTGCTGGCAAGCTTCCCTCAATTCACCGGTAGCGGTACCTCTGGCGCGCGGCAGCTGCATGCAGTCTGCACTGGGTGACATTTGACGAGTTGCCTGGCGGGAGCCCAGGACTGTTCACGTGTGGTGCGCGCACTGGTCACGCCGCAATCCTATAGATAAACGCGTGTGATCACTGGTGCCATCTTCCCTGCCGGCGCAGCGGATGGAGTGCTCGCCGGGTGTCAACTTCACCTGCCACGCCAATGCCATTAATTAGCTTTCTCGTGTCCTCTTCGCGTATGATTGTTCTCGTTAGTGCTCTGACGACCGCATCAAACGAAAGAATATGAGCACTTTTTTTTTTTGAAAAAAGAAAGAATACGAGCACTTGCCTGAAGCTTCGGTGCCTTTGCCGTCGTCCTGCGTACTTTATTGCTATTCCTCGTAGTAGGTTGCCGTTAGCTTTGCCAAAATGCTCATTTGAGGCAAGTGGGTCCACAGCTTCGGCCGTACGGCTACGGCCACACAGGTCGGTCACCAATTTGGCGTTTTGATTTTCACGCCAGCCAAATTACCATGGCATGGACTAAATTTGTCTTGGTATCTCAGGCTCACCAACCAAACGGGCCCTCATATTTTGACTTACCAATTTGAATTCAAACTAGCCAAAATATGTTTTAAAGTCTTAACATCATTTTCAAATATCAAATGCTTACTTTAAAATGTTTGGTTCGTCATTTCCCATGTATGAATTACTACTATCAAAAATAAAAAAGAATTAAACTTAAACAAAAAACATAGTACTCAATACAAAGGTTGTATTATTTTCACCTCACATCGGCAGGCCCCATTAGAGCACCGCCAATGTAAGCTAACAAGAGCATTAGCCTAAGGCCTTTTTTGGCATGGTTTCTAGAGGGGCTTCACCAGTGGCTTCTGTGGCTTTTGGGAGAAGCCCTACCAAACAGTCGCACGTGAAACGGCTTGTGAAGCCAAAACCAGGCAAAAAGTGGTGAAGCTCAAGCCGTTTTGGCTTAGAAGCCGAAGTCACAAAAATATGGCTTTTTTTGGCTTCACCATTTTTGGAGAAGCCAAAGCTCTACCAAAGAGAGCCTAAAAACAATCGGGCATGTCGATGTGATCATTACATTTTCGAATGCAAGCCACAATTCTCTCCTCTATGCGTTGTCCTAGAAGAAAAACAGCCATGCATGCCTTTTAGCGCGCGGCGTGGAGAGAGTTATGCTAGGGGTGTGTGGTCTCGAGGAAAAAACGTGTGATAGAGCCCCATATCTACTCCAACTCCAACGTGTGCCCTAGTAGGTGCTTTAGCTTTTGTTAGATGTAACCCTCGCGACTTCTACAGGATCCTCTGGTGACCTATGTGCTATGCCACCAATTTAGTTGATCTAAACGCCGAGTGCAGACGTGGATATTTAGACCACTATAGGTAGAAAACCACCTAGGAGAGTCAGTGTTGTTTGCCTAGTGTCTATGCATCGTCGATCATTTTTTGAACAGACCTATAAGTTGAGCAACTCTTTTGTTATCACTGGTACATGATACGAAACTTACACCTAGCCCGGGGTGGATCTAACATTGAGGCTTGGGGGGGCTACCCTCCATGTTGTCCATGGAGCCCTATGAAGCCCCCTCTAAATCCTGTAGCCATGGATCAAGAGGAGACAGGAGAAAGAAGAAGAGAAAGAGGAAGAAGAAGAAGATGGGCCCCTCTGGCAGCATGCTGGCTCTGCCCTTGCACTTAACAATTTGACTCTTTCAACTTTAAGCGATGGAATTCAATTATTTTAAGTGGGGTGCCCCATGATTTCTGACTAGACAAAGACAACTGTCAACTAGCATCCATCTTTCAGTGGATCCTTGATTGAAACTTTAAATCATAGAGCTCAGATTTTGACCTTCCATTTTCATCATCGGTTCATACTAGCAAAAAGTATACTTTAAAGTCTTTACATTTGAGACAATACATCAAATTCTTTAAAATGTCTGATCTCAACAATTTCCATGCACAATACTAATAACAAAGAGAAAAGGGAAATTCAACTAAAAGGAAAAATATTGTATTTGATGTAAAAAGCTACGTGGTCTTCTCATAGCAAGAAGATGTGCCTATCTCCCACGGCCATGATCTCCAGAAAACACACAAACAAAGTATGGCGAATAAGTTGTTGGCATGATGAGTAGTTATAGAATGTGGATTATTTGGCTTTAAATTAGCACTCTGTTTAGGAATGCTTACATTTCTCTTGGAGTATTTCATTCTTAAGTGTTTTTTAGTGAATAGTAAAATTTGCTTGAAACTAGCAAAAATAATAGGTTTGCACTCCCCAGCTCTAGCAGTAGCATATTGCTAACCTTAAGTGGACGTGAATATATAGTAGTACTGTTGCTTTGGCTTACACTGACAAGATCCCACTAATAACAAAGCACGGATTCCGCTGCTAGGAAATGGACAGCAACATATTTTTTTTAAAAAAAAGAAAGAATGTGGCAAAGACATCTGAATTCATCCCGCAAAAATCAGTACTATAAAAAAGGCAAAAAAAAAAACACTTTAGATTGTTGTAATATACTTTCTTAGCTTTTGCCAACATGTTCATGTTAAACCTACAAAGCCAAAAGCAGCCAAAAGCGTATCTACTAAGGTTATAGGTGCAACTACTCTTTTTTCCTCACCGGTATACATAACAGTTTGACTCTTTCAACTTAGTGATAGAATTAAGTGTTTCAACTGGGGTGAACCATGACTTCCAAGCTCCAATCAAACAAATACAACTTTCAACTAGCATCCAACTTTCAGTGGAGCCTTGATTGGAACTTTCAATCAAAGAACTTGACCTTCCATTTTCATTGGTTCATACTAGCGAAAAGTGTACTTTAAAGTCTACATTTGAGACAAACCATTAAATTCTTTAAAGCGTCTGATTTCAACAATTTCCACGCACAATACTAACAAAGAGAAAAAGGGAAATTCAACTAAAAGAAAAAATATCTTATTTGATGTAAAATGCTATGTAGTCTTCGCCTTCTCAGAGCAAGAAGATGTGCATATCGCCCACGACCTCCAGAAAACACACACAGACAGAGTATGGCGAAGAAGTTGTCAGCATGATGAGTAGTTATAGAATGTGGATTATTTGCCTTTAAATTAGCACTCTGTTGAGGAATGTTTGCATTTCTCTTAGAATAATTCACTTTTAAGTGACTTTTTGAGTGAAATAGTAAAATTTGAATGCAAGTAGCAAAATTAATAGGGTTGCACTCCTCAGCTTGGTAGTAGAATATATTGCTAATCTTAAGTGGCCCTATATGGCTATATGTATAATTTCAGAGTTTTTGCGTTTTTTTCACTGGCAATTAAGGATAATAGTAGAACTGTTGCTTTAGCTGACTATGACAAAATTCCAATGGATATTTTTCCTAGCACGAGCCTATCGCCCTTATCCACGAAAAAAGCTATTGCTACCTTTGCAAGCCCCAGAAACACATTTGTCTAAGAAAGAAAATTTGTGGCAGACACATTTAAATGCACCGTGCAAAAATCAGTAGTAATTGGGTTTGTAAAAACCACTTCTGGTTGTTGTCAATACACTTCCTTAGCTTTTGCCAACATATTCAGGTGTGAAAGTTGGAACTGCAAGTCAAAATTATATCTAGCGCATTCCGTTGACCACCTTTTCTATTGGAAAAAGAGTCTGCTAGTCCGGTTTGTGTGTACAGTCGTCGCCGTTCGCTAATACCAGTCCAGGGTTTGACAAAGAAGTGGGACGACGAGCTTATTGGCCGACAGGAGCGTGCCTTAAACGGTGGCATGAGCTGATCAGGGCGCGCGCATCCGGTCACGTCAGTGGCTGTCACTGTCCAGTGTCTATCCAGCACCTCAGGAATTCCCGTGCGCGGACGACGACGGCCAAAACGTCCAGTCAAAGATTTCGGCCCCCTACAGTGTCCACACAGGACGCGCGGACTCACCCTCACCCAGCCTGGTCGCTGGGCTGGGGCTGGCTGGGCTGGTTGACCAGCTCTCTCATATTGCTACTATTTACATAATCAGTCAGCAGTATTTTTCTCTTACATAAACGAATCAGCAACGATACAAACCAGCTGTAGTTAGCCACTTGCGCGCTCGTGATATTCCTTCTCCCACCATCACCGATTGTAGCTAGTCGAATCACCTTCACCACTTGGTGATGCTAATTTGCTATGCTCCCATCCATGGCTGTGGCTCCGTCCTTATCGTGGCTCTCCCTCGTCTCCTCGCTCTGGACGGCATGGGCGTGGTGGTCGTTGCCTCTGATGCTCGCGACGGCGGCACCAACGACGGCAGCGGGCCGGCAAGGAGAGCTCTGCCCGACCACGCTATGCGGCAGCGTGAACATCTCCTTCCCGTTCGGGATCGTCGCCGACCACGCAACGGATACCAACTGCTTGGTGATCGGGTTCCAGGTTCGCTGCTCTAACAACATACCATACTTCGGGTTGAGTACATATTCGCCCCGGATTCTCGACATCTTCAACGACAACTCCTCCTTGCTCATCGCCGATGTCCACAAGCTTGACGACTTCCATAGCTCCGCCACCGAGCTCTGCCACACCCCGACGAACAATAGCTCCTCCAAGGTCGCCCCCTTGTTCTCGATCAGCCCAGTTAACCAGAACATGATCTTCTACGACTGCGTGGAGCCGCCGGCGCCGGCGGTGCGCAAGAGCCGTGGGCTCGTGAACACGACGTGCGGGAACAGGACGCTGGTTGGCGTCACCAAGGGTCCCTACGTGCCTGGCAGCTACTTCTTGGAGGGCTGCAACGCTACCGTCGTGCCTATGCTTGCGAGGCCCGGCGAGGTGAACCCAGCAAACTACAAGGAGTTCATCAGTGGCGGATTCCTCCTGACATGGCAACTGCCGCCGTCGCCATCATCGGCTGGTAAGTTCGCAATTGCATAGA